GGACTGGCATGGATGTTAGCTCAGGGCTGATCTTCCTCACAAAAAGAAAAGAAAAGAATAGAAAAATATATACCAGGCAAATACTAAGCAAAAGAAAGCTGGTGTAGTAAAATTAATGCAAAAACATTAGTAGTGTTCACCCATAGGAACATGGCACGTCACAAACACCATACCAAGCGGATGTAGTCAATATACTGAACAAGAACTGCTGGTGAGATGTGATCAAAAATGCAACTTTACTTTTGTCTAATCCTGTACCTTTAAAATTAAGTTTTTCCCAGGCCCCATGGCTTTGCTGCTCACTCCAAAGACTCCTACAGTCACTTTAAATCACAAATTGAGCCTTATTTCAGTGATTAGAACCCCCAGTCCCAAATAATAGAGGACCCTCTGAACTCAATTTAGAGTTAAACCTCCTCTCCTCCCTCAGCTAGCACCAACTTCAGGTGGACCTACCACTTTTGGGGGAAAGGATGCTCTGGGTTTCTTCTCTTTCCCATCCTCCCCAGCTTGCTAATTTAGACTTCAGGCCTGTCTGGGGTTGAAGGGAGGGAGTAAGCAGCAAGTTCTTGACTGGTCTCATAGTAAGTTGGCTTCATGCTGTTTGAGTCTAGCTGACGTTTAAATCTGACTCTTTCTCACCTGAGGCTCCCCTACTACAACTCCTGTGTCAAGAGTTAAACATTCTATTGCTGTTTTCCCTCAGCTCTGGGTTTTCCAGTTGTCCATTCCAACCAGTTTCTGTGGTGGAATCCACAGCAATCCCAAACAGTTCTCTTCGGCAATACCAAGCAGCTTGCTCTCCTGCAAGGCCCACTTCTGGTACATGATAAACACCCATGTATCTTTTGCCCCCAACAAATTGGGAATGTAAACATCCCAATAAAGTCACGTCTCCTTTGCTCCCACCATCACCACAGTCACATTCTCTAGCCTATAAGATTTCTCTTGCTGGAGTCAGATTCCATTTCACTGTTCCTCCAAACTCCAGGAGTTACAAATCAAGCTTCAAGGGGTCCAGTTGAAGCCCTGGGGTGAAGGGGAAAGCATTCCAACTCTTCCCCGCTGGAAGCCCACTCCAAAGAAATCCTCACAAAAATTCCTTCTCCATATCTCCTCTCTCTTGACCCTTTTCATTCTCCTTGTAAGTTTTAGAGCTGCTGCTTTACGTTTTGTAAGGTTATTTCCTCTGAAAACCTGGCTTTAGAGTTTTGTATCTATTATATCTTGATGTGTAAGAGGAAACTTCCAATTTAACATCCTGTCATGCAAATTTAAACCAAGCAATCCCCCAGTCCTGAAAGGTCACCATCTAAAGTTTAAAGACATTTAAAAGGTAAAGTATGGGCTTTGGAGTGTGAGGAACTGGGGTCAGAATACAAGCTGTGCAACTTATTAGATTTAGGGCCTTGGAAAATACACTTAACCTCTCTGTGTTGTTGCTCCTTCGTGCAAGGGAAATACTGCTCCCTACCTCACAGGATTGCTATGGGGATTAAAGAGAGAATCAACCCAAAACACCAAACACTGCATCTGGCCCTCAGTGAGCACTCAAGCAAATGTTAGTTCCCTTCCCACCCTGCCTCTTCCCTTCTTGAAAAATATGCCTTTCACACACTCTACCATAAAGAGCATTTGTAAATGTAACAACAAAAAGGGGAAACGCAGGTATGATCTTCAGTGCCATGTCTGTATTCCAGAATTGATTGACAGATACAGTATAGGAAAAGGGACGATATTATCACGCCATTCTCCCTCTGGGAGTTACCCACCCAGTGGAGTTGAAGGGAGGGGACACAATCATCATGCCATTAACTGGTTCATGTGTTTTCCTGAACCTTAATTTTAGTTTCTAGGTTAAAAATCAATAGAGCATATATACTTAGAGCTCCAGAACTTTAGATTGCGAGTTTTAGCGACCTAACTCATCAATAGTTACAGGACCTGGTAAGATCCTCCCCTCTTCTGACTCCATCTATCAAAGATGGTGAAATAGCTGATATTACTTAATATGTGTGGGACACTAAGTGGTCTGTATGATAATTCATATAAACGTCACAACAACTCTAAGGGGAAGTAATGTGATTATCCCCATTTTACAAAAGAGGCACAGAGGCCAAGGACACACAGCTAAAAGTGGTCGACCTGGGGCTTGAACCCAGTTAGTTAAGCTCTTAACTGCTATACTATCCTGCCTCTCTGAAAAATAGTACAGCTATTGAGAAACGTGAAACTTGAGATCTCATCTGTGAAAGTACCCTGACCCTATTATCAGTTCAGGCCCTCCTAGAAGCAAATGCCAAGACAAGCTTAGACATACAAGAGCTTTATTGAGGAAATATCTGTGAAAGATAAAGGGAGAAGGAGCAGGAGGAGATGGAGAGAGCCTTCCGACTGTGATGCACGTCTCACACCTGTGAAAGGAGAGAGCGAAGGAAGGAAGATTAGGCAGGAAGAACCTCAGTCTGCAGTGCAATAATAAGAAAGTCTGCACCAGGCCAACAGGGAGGACAAGCAAAGATTAAAGGAGTCCTCCAACAAGCAGAAATGGCCCGGCTCAAGCTGCCCAAACCTGCTCAGTTATGGTATGAGAGCAGTGTGGGGAAAGTGGGGCCTTAGCATAAATGTCAGAAAAAATTCCAACGTTCTTTTGAGGAAATATCTGAGCTATGTGACTCCATGGCCACCAGAGACCTGGTGACTTTTTCCTGGCAGTCATCCAAATACCTTCTACTGCCCGAGGCCTGAGCATTCTGCAAGGACCCTGAACCTGATCCCTCTGCGCTGCCTCAGCACAGGGCCTCCCACTCTCATACTCTGTCCCCTAAGAGCCAGGGCATCCTGATCAGCAGAGGGCTCTCTCCAGAGTCCGTGACCTTCAATGCATTCTGCTTTAGAGTTGGCCAGACAAGTCACTTCTTGGACATGTGATTGAGATACCAGCCTTCTGCCTGGCAGGGAGGTGGTGAGGGCCCAGAGAACCAGGCTCTGGATTCTGCTGACCCTCCACCATCAATGCCTTCAAAAGCATCTTCACAGCTTGACTTTCCTGGCCCCCAAGTCGTGGGCTGGGCCTGCAGTGCATAGGGGTGTTCACGCAGGAGGTGAAACCCCTTTTCTCCTGAGTGTAGGACCACATGCCTTTGCAAAGACCCCTTTCCCTGGGATCTCCTGTGTCTCTGGGCCTGGACTGACACAGACAGCAGAAGCACTGCACCACGCACACACAGAGCTAAAGTCACCACAAAACCACCCAAACAGGCTGGGGTACATCCGAGATCCTTCTGGGAGTCTGAGAAAGGTGGGGGGGGGTGGTAAGGTCTTGTCTGAGGTCTACCCCCATTTTGTGTGCCTACCTCACTGGACTCTGAGAGAAGGGCTAGCCCCTTCTGCTTCAGCCCCATTTACCTGGTCAGACCCAGGTCAGATATCTGCTTGCTCAAAGACTATCCCAACCAATGTTTCCAGTTAGGAATCCTTGGGGCTTTATCTCCTCCCTTACAAAAGATTCCCCAAATGCGAAAGGGAAAAGGAGGGAAAGGCAAAGTGCTCTGACCTGTGATGGAGACAGTCGTCGTCCTCCAGGTAAGCCTGTCAGGACAGCCCGACCATCAGGAGGGTCTTGTGCCTGCTGCAGGCTGGAGCAGAGAAACCAAAGTCAGACCACCCTGAAGAGGAGTGTGGCTTGGATGAGCCCTTCCACATCCTGCCCCAGTACCACCCCTCAGAGCGCCAGGGGGCTGGATTCATCCTGTCTTGTAAAACTGCCACAGTGAGCCCCTGGTCCCTCATCTCATTGCAGCCAGAATCTAGCATCCATCAGGCTGCCATATCCCTGAAGACTGGTCTGGAGACATGAAGATCCCCGAAATGACATCTTAGAGAAAAGAAAAAGCCAAGGGCACAGTCATTCTTGCTTTGCTTCATAGAAACTTAATTTTCTTATATTACACTTGTCATTTTTTGTTTGTAATTTTTTTTTTTTTTTTGGTGAGGAAGATCAGCCCTGAGCTAACATCCATGCTAATCCTCCTTTTTTTTGGTGAGGAAGACCGGCTCTGAGCTAACATCTATTGCCAATCTTCTTCCTTTTTTTCCCCCAAAGCCCCAGTAGATAGCTGTATGTCACAGTTACACATCCTTCTAGTTGCTGTACATGGGGCGCGGCCTCAGCATGGCTGGAAAAGCGGTGCGTCGGTGCGCGCCCAGGATCCGAACCCGGGCTGCCAGTAACGGAGCACGCGCACTTAACCGCTAAGCCACAGGGCCAGCCCTGTTTGTAATTTTTAATTTTTTTGTTTTAGTGCTTTACAAAGGCATGCCCCCCTTGAATTCTTACAAATATTTTCTTTTTCTCACTTTATAGTTTACACTCCCTCTGGGCACACAGAAAACTGTACTTCCTAGTCCCATAGCGTCCCCAGCCCTTTGCTGTTAGGTGAGGCCGTGTTACTAGTTGGGGCCAATGAGCTGTGCACAGCAGTGACTTATGTTACTTCTGAGGTTACTTTAGAAGAGTGAGTGCGAGATCATGACACTGCCCTTTGCCACAGTGACCCGCAATGTTCCAGGTTGTGGAGCCTCTGTCAGCTGGCGTCCCTGACAAACTATGGGAAGCAAAGCCCCCTCACCCCTGGCCTTCATCAACACATGGTGGACATTTATTGTGTGCTAGAAATCAACCTTTGCTGTGTTAAGCCACTAAGGTTTGGGGGTTGTTACCCTAGCATCATATGCTTAGCCTAACCTGACAAACTCAGCGATGGCTCTCAGTTTAGAGTGCAATGGAGTCACCTGTCATACTTGTTAAAATGCATACTGTATGACAAAAATATGTTGGGGGACAGACTTAGGGATTAGTGACGATTGAAGAGAACTACTCGATTATCTTATTAGCTGACTGACAAATCCTTTTGAATTTTATAATTTTTCATTTTTTTAACCTCATAATAGTATTTGTTACCCAAGTAATAGATATTCTATTTGGAAAACTGAGAAGGCACAAGCAAAAAGGAAAAATTAAGATAAAAATCCAGAACTCTGTCACACAGATATTAACCTTCTGACCTTCTGGTGTGTTATCATGTCAGGAATTTTCTTTTGAAAAAAGACCATCTTTTCCCTGAAGGAGAGGAATGGAAAAAAATCCATAGCATCCCTTTCGAGAGAGCTCCATCAACTCCACCTAAACAAACACGCGCGCTCGCGTGCGAGCGCGGCAGAACAAGAGTGTGGGGAACGCAGCCCTGGAAAACGATTCGCTTCCATATCTGCCCGCCCGCCCCCACACCTCGGGGCCCATATGCAGAGAACAGCGGTGCTTACCTCTCTTTCGTAACCTTCCGCTCAACACACCCACATCCTCCGCAATAGGAAGCTGGCACGCACGCATGGTTCCCGCCCACCTCCCCAGCATGCCCTGTTGCCCACCATTTTCTGAATCAAAATGGATAGAGAGCGTGGCGGTGGTGTGAGAACTGCAGTACAGGACCTGCTGCGGGGTCCGCTTACACCCCCTTTTTCTTTTTAGTGGTTTTCAGGTGGCTCCCACCTTCGCATCCACCTGCAGGGAACCCGGGTGTTTTCCTCCTCCTCCTTTTTCCTTGGGCCAGAAGCCAGCCTGCTTTCAATGCAATAAGAAACTGGTACCCGAACCTGACCCCCGTCTCTTCCCCAGATTCCTCCCCCAAGCCTACCATTTTTTTGCCCAAAAATGGACCGGAGCAGGGGCAGGAAAGGGGTATGGGCAATGCAGTTCTGGACCTGCTTTGGTGTTCGCCCTCGCCTTCGGATATCCTCTGCTCTTTCAAACCTCCTCAGATCCGGGGCAGGAGGTAGTCTCCTTCTCTTCTGTCTGGCGTCCAGAAGCGCGCCTGCCTGCCTCCAAGGTAATAGGGAGATGGTGCTGAGGCAGGAAAGAGGACTCAGACTACACAGTGACTTAAATTCACGTCTGCCCTTTGTCCAGCGAGGCCCGTGTTAACAGTGAGCTAGAGTCTCCAGTTAACCCTCCGAATAGCACTGCAGCAGGAGCCGGGTCGTCGCTCCCCGCCCCTCTCCCCAACTTGACACTGTTAATCTTTTCAGTCTTTGCCAGAAACATGAAAAGTGTATTATCTCCCTGGAATTTCTATTTGCCCTTCTCAGATTATCATGGAGGATCAGTCCCTTGGGGTTAATCAACCATATCTTTTGTTTCTCGCCCGCTGCCTAGACTCTCTACCTCCCCTCCCCCAAGAGCCGAAGGTCTACCATTTCCCTTGCAGTCCTGTCCAGGCATGAAATGGGGTTCAGGAAATGAGGCTCAGAGTGAAGAGTCAGAGATTTTTACTAGTTCTTTTTAATTTTTGCCAGTTCTGTTCCTTAAGGTTATTATTATTACTGATAGTAATATCAGCCTACATCCTCTTTGTCTTTAAAAGATAGAAAACAGCCATCTGTTGTCATTTGAGAAGCAAGAAGTGGATTCAGGAGTTTATGTGGGTAAACAATAATCCAGCCACCTGTTTTCCCTACTCAGTGATAATACAAATATAGATCCTTTAGGCAGCCACTTTTTTGCAAGTCTGAAATGTACAGAGCAGCTGGAGGCTCCCCCTGTGAGGGGCCCCTGGTGGAGGGGGCTTTCCATGAAGTCAGCCTCCGAGGTCACATAATCTCACAGTACCAAGGACACCTTGGAGTTTCAGATTGTAAAAGCTGGTCACAATGTTCTGGTCTTCAAAATTATTAATTCAACCTCTACAATTGCTCTATTGCCCAGTTCTCTACCATATTCATATCCCTATTAACCCTTTCCAATTGCAACCAAAATTTCCTACTACTTCTTACCATCTCAGGGACAGATCTAGGTTGTGGGGCCTGAAATTTACAATTTGGGGGACCCTCTTTAAGAAAAAGGATATTAAAAAGGTATGGGCAATGCAGGAAATTAGATACCAAAGTTAATATTTATTTACAATGAGAAAAGAAATCACAACAAATTACAAAATTTGAACAGCTGACATATACAAAACATCCCAATTTCCATACAAATAACATTTTTATTAACTGCCAGGCATACCTCAATGATTTTTTTCCCTACAATTTTTGGCTACAAACTCTTTGATCCTGTCTTCATATGACTTTTTTTTCCTTTTTTTTTTTTTGTTTTTTTTGCTGAGGAAGATTAGCCCTGAGCTAACATCTGTTGCCAATCTTCTTCGTTTTTTTTGCTTGAGGAAGACTAGCCCTGTGCTAACATCTCTGCCAGTCTTCCTCCACTTTATATGTGGGTTGCCACCACAGCATGGGTGACGAGTGGTGTAGGTCCATGCCTGGGATTCAAACCCGTGAACCTGGGCCACTGAAGCAAAACACCTCGAACTTAACCAGTATGCCACAGGGCAGACCCCGATATGACATTTTTTTAATATTGTTTTTCCTGGAGAAAAATGTAAAGGTAATTTAATATTTCCTTTGCATGGTTAATCAGTTTATTATTATTATTGATAAATATTCCAGCTTTACAACTCATTATTGGTGATGGGTAAATTTTTAGTATTGTCAAATCTGAGTAAACTGCTGTCAACCTCTGTCAAGTTTCTTGTATGGGCTTAAAATTTAAGTTTTCTTGTGCAGATTCTTATCAAGTATTCTTAATAATGACACTCACAAACCAGTTTGATGTCAGTGTCCTGAAGGGGAGCAGAATTTGCCACCCCAAAATACGCCTCTTGGCCATAAAGATTATTTTAGGCTGATAATTTTTAAGAAACAGCAGACAAAGAAGCTCAGAAAACCGAGAAGTTACCCTTCCTAAGAGACAATTACACTTATAAGGGAAATCTCCATTTATAAGGGTGTCTCCCTCTCTGTACTGTACCAGGGAGAAAAGGATGACTCTAAATCTCTAGAAATTCCTATCAATGGAGAAGGCAACGACTTAAATCTGCATGACAACCTTACCCTTGGTTACAGTGCTTTGCCTGAAAACCTCCCATAACTGCCCCCCCCCCCAGCCCACTAACATCTTTTGTCTTTAGCTGGGGATGATATTTAAGGTGGTGACTTGGGCCATTTCAGGGAGTTACTCAGTTTTCCTGGATCTCTCCCATGTATATAGGAGGTATACATGGTATTAAACTTGTTTGTTTTTCTCCTGTTAATCTGTCTTTTATTACAGGGAGTTCTCATCCAAGAACCTAGAAGGGTAGAGGGAAAATTATTTTTTCTCCCCCACAGTCCTCATTGTAGTAGTGATTTTGAGTTTCATAGTATCTTAGTCAATGTCAGTATTTCATGCCAAATCACCAAAAAATGAATATGAACCTGTGTAGATGTGATTGGGCAAAGCCACAGGCATGGATGGTGTAGCAAAGACCGGGAGTCCATTTTTGATAAATCATATTGTACTTATAAGGCAGCAATGGGAGCCAAGACTAAAAAAGTATCTTGGAATCAAGTAATGAATTAGGAAATAGTATCAAATGCTGGCAAGTGGCCAGTGTTAAGCCATCAGGCTTTTAATTTGAGCTATAAGATTTGTTCACGGTTCACTAAGCATATGAAAGTCAAGTATAGCATTAGGCTCATTAGCATTAGAGTCAGGCAACCCTAGTTTGAATCCTAGAGCTTCTACTCACTACCCTGTGGAACCTTACTAGTAATTACAGTCATGCACCGCCTAACATGCACCGTGGGACAGACCACATATACGATGGTGGTCCCATAAGATTAATACCATATAGCCTAGGTGTGTAGTAGGCTATACCATCTAGGTTTGTGTAAGTACACTCTGATGTTCACATGACAAAATCACCTAACAATGCATTTCTCAGACCATGTCCCCATTGTTAATCAACACGACTGTACCTAATTATACATGCAAGGGACTGAGAAACACATGAATATATTATCCAGTTAAACTGAAACTAAATGTAATTCCAAATCAACTTCCCCTTAGCTTAATCCCAAACATGCCCACATCCATCTTACCACCAACATGAAGGGAAGTCGGAGTGGAAAAAGAGAGTATGTAGTCTTAAATTGTGGTCAAAATTCTTGCTTTTGCTAACTTTTACAAAAATATATGCGACATACTATGGCCCGTATATTATTTTTCTATTGCCTTTTAACAAAATACAAAACTTAGCTGCTTAAAATAACACCCATTTATTTGGCTCAGAGTTCGGTAAGTCAGAAGTCCAGACATGTTGTGGCTGGGATCTCTGCTTAGGATTTCATAAGGCTGAAATCAAGGTGTCAGTCAGGCTGTATTCTCATCTGGAGCTTAGAGTGCTTTTCCAAGCTTACATGTGTGGAATTGAAAAAAGACAGAGTTTCTCATATTAAGGCATAATGGAGCCGGGCAGACATGAAGAGGAGAAGAAGATCCTCCTTCAGGATGAACTCTTGAACTCATTAGATGCCTGAAATGCATCTGCAAGTCTCCTCAAGGAAGATAAGACTATCGGGAGAGAGACCTCATTCCTGTCAAGGTCATCTACATTCCTAAGTTTTAATGGCTTGTTTCAACTGACCCTCACCCCATGACTACCTTGGGCCTGGAATTTATTAAAAAACATTCCTTTCCCACCCCTCCCCCCTCTTTTTTTTGCCTTTGTTAGCCATGACTGTAAAACCTTCCCTCTCCCTTCAACAGCCAGAACACAACTGGAACACAGATTCAAGTGCTACTACCACTAAGTGATACTTGAATCTGTGTTCCAGGGCTGCAGTCCTGATAAGCCCCAAACAAACTTCTTTTTGTTTAAGTCTATCAGAGTCTACCTCATAATTGGTCAACACACGGTTGTGGCAGAATTCAGTGCCTTGCAGTTGTAGGATTGAAGTCCTGCTTTCCTCCTGGCCATCGGCTGGGGGCCACTCTCAGCTCAGATGTCACCCACATTCCTTGCCACATGACCCCTCTATCTTCAAAGCCCAAAGTGGAAAATCTCCCTCACACTGAATCCCTTTCCTACTTCAAATCTGACTTAAGGAAAGGCCATCTCCTTAAAGACTCATCCCATGAGGTCAGGCCCACTTAGTGATTGCCCTTTTGATTAACTCAGCGATTTGAAATCTTGATTGTATCTGCAAAATCCCTTTTGCCATATACCTAACATGATCATGGGAGGGGTATCTCATATTCACAGGTTCCCTCTACAATCAAGAGGAGGGAATTATACAAGTGTGAAGGTCATTGGGGACCCTCTTAGAATTTTGCCTACCATAACCCTTCCTAATAACCCTTCCTAGAGGCCTCAGATGGTGCCCATACAAATCAAGGGGCCGTGAAGCTTAAGATTCGTTAGCTTCAAGGTGAATTCACCTCTGCATTTTTTTTAAATTTTATTTATTTATTTATTTATTTTTGTGAGGAAGATCAGCCCTGAGCTAACATCCATGCCAATCCTCCTCTTTTTGCTGAGGAAGACCGGCTCTGAGCTAACATCTATTGCCAATCCTCCTCCTTTTTTCTCCCCAAAGCCCTAGT